TCTCTTAGCAAAGATCAGCAGATTAAGCAACTGGAGCTCGAACTAGACCAGGAACGAAGAATGGCAGAGAGCTTGATAGAAGACATGGTAAATTATAACAAACATAATTATGTTACATCAGATTCTTATAAGTGTTAATTTTCCATTTGAAAATGTTTTTTTTTTTGGATTGTTCAACCAAAACTGTGACTTAGTTCGACATAAGCCCTGTCAAGAAAAAAATATTATAATATTACTTTTAATTTGCAACCCTGGACTTTGAGATCATGTAGCCAGCATTTGTAATAATAATGATAATAATGATAATAATGATAATAATGATAATAATGATAATAATGATAATAATGATATTGATGATGATGATAATAATAATAATAATAATAATAATAATAATAATAATAACAGTAATAATTTATTTATATAGTGCTATTTCTGTCACTATCCAATAGCGCTTTACAATGAGTAAACAAAAACAAGTTAACGTACTGAGTATATAATTATATACAGTAACTTCTTGATACGTTAGCAGTGGGTATGCCAAGATAGCAGCATTTTAGAAATGTCATTTCTCTCATCCCTTAAAAAGTGTTATCACCATTTCTGTCATTTATTTTGTTTGGTACATGTACATGTATGCACATGTAAAAGCAGACTTTTTTATTTTTTAATTTTTTTTTTTNACTATCCAATAGCGCTTTACAATGAGTAAACAAAAACAAGTTAACGTACTGAGTATATAATTATATACAGTAACTTCTTGATACGTTAGCAGTGGGTATGCCAAGATAGCAGCATTTTAGCAATGTCATTTCTCTCATCTCTTAAAAAGCGTTACCACCATTTCTGTCATTTATCTTGTTTGGTACATGTACATGCACATGTAAAAGCAGACTTTTTTAATGTTTTTTTTTTTTCTTAATCTGATTATATTTTGTTTTTGTTATGTAGCCTCCTGATCAGAAAGCAAAGTATGCCAAGTTGAAGAATGTCAACAATTCACTACAGTTGGTGAGTATTTACTATATGCTACTGCATGTAGCATACATTTATAGCAATATTCTCGAAAGAAAAAATATTCAAAAAAGTTCCTAGCATGTCACTACAGAGTATATTTTTCTTACAAATACAACATGAACTTGTTCAACAGGAGCTTGAGCAGAAACAGCAGGAGTTAGATGCTCTGACTACTCGCATCCAGAACCTTGAAGATGTAAGTATACTACATA